ACTCCACCATTGCTGGTTAGGCTCATTCCACTGGCTTGTCGATCTAGAAAAATTTTGCCAAATTTGCCAATCAGTTGAAGACAGAATGAGTCGCAGACTGGTCTCCGCATCACGCGGGTTTTTGAAGAATAGGCAAAGAAAAGTGTCTATTTTCCTTATTATTTATTAGATTTGAGGGGAATTGAAGTATTAATATGCAATTCTATATGGATTTAATCGATTTAATACATTGAATATTTCATTGTGCATTTCATTTTTATATGAAATGTTTATAGTATAAAACGGAATAACACACTACATGCAACATATTGTTGAAGGCTTAATATGGTGTGTTGAAAGCGTGACGGTCGAGTGGTTATTGGGTTATCTACGGCAGAAGTATACCTGTCATTAAAAATGCACCTGGCCACCCATCTGTATTTCCATTGCTTATTGATCCCCTGGCAAAAACTTTTCCCATCCCACTAATAGCTACTAGAACGAGCCAATCTAAGAAATGGTGGGGTTAACCTCTTTTAATGTGACTTTTTTTTATATTTTTGTTGTTATTAGTATTTTTTCATAAACATATTAATTTATTAATATTAATAATATTAACAATATTAAGCATATTAATTTAATTTATTAATTTAAAAAATCAATTAATTAATTTTAATTTATATCAATCAATTAAAATATCAATCAATTTATTTTAATATTTTAATTTAAAATATTAATTTTTGAACTCATGGACTGTTATTTAAGTAATTCTATCATTTAACACCGCTTTTGCCAATCGTTAAACTAATAATGAAACTTCTAAATTTAAAAACAACAATAAAATATAAATAATTTATAAAACAATTCGGAAAATTCCGAATCATTTTATGTTATTTAATAATTTAAGTTTCAGTATTTTTTTTTTTCTAATTCTTCTCGAAAATCATTTTTTTTTCAAAAAAATTTATCATTCATTCCTTTTAAATAAAGGAAAAAATTATTCAGCGTTCTAATTTTTTATTAACGTTAGTGATGTAATTTTTTCACTTGCTGGGATTAATGTTTTGACCCGAATTTTCCAGAAAGATTCTCTTTTTAAAAAAATTTGGAAAAATTTATGTCTTTTATTATTATGTGAATGGTCTGTACTCACATTTGTGGAAGTTTAGCTGGCAGTTAATATAATCGAAGATTTTTGTTAGGGAGTCATTTAGTGATAGAAATACAGTTGGATCACCACTAGTACCCGGATTTCAGATTAGCTCCTATCAGAAGCCGAACCCTTGGCTTTCAGTATTTTATTATTATTATAGTTTTGTAGATTTTTTTCTTTATGCTAATAATAAGTAAGGTATTTTGCACAATTTACAATTCGCTCTTGTAATATAGTGAAAATCTGAATTAAGACAACTGATTTTTTCTGTCATATGAAACTGTCTTTATTAAATATATATGAAAAAATTAAAATTAACCTGCTTTTCGAGTGTACACTGAATAAACAACCATTCCTGGATAGGCTAATACCATTGGCTATTAAGGCAAATTTCGCGGAGAGATTATTTGAGAAGAGCAAAAAATGTAACAAGAATGTAAAAATATAACAATATAATATATCTCCAGCAAAATGTTAATTCTAATGGCAAATTTACTTCATGATGCTCAAAATGCTTTTATTTTATTGCAGATATTTTATTGACTATCTTTTAAAACCCGCTTGAGAAAAATTCTCTTGAAATTTTTTTATTGAAGTTCTTTTTTATACCCGAGACTGGCGAGACGGTTTCTTCTTGAAGTAAATTCTAATTCCAAGAATGGAATGAATAAAAGCCTTTGAGCAAGGTGCTTCTTAGGTTTTATAAGTCGATAAGTTTGCGTGGAAGGGAAATTTTACTTTGTTGAGAAGGGCAAAGTAGCCTTAGGCTATTTTATTATGTAACAATATTTTATGCATACTTAGTTGAATAAAATAGGTCAAGTTGAACGGATAAGATTTTTTTTCTTCATTACGGTTTGGTTCATCAGATTTTGTATTAAAAAGTTGGATTGGCCTTCAGTCAGTGAAGGTCAAAAGAAACTTGTTTCAACGGATGTGCTTTTAACATCTAACAATTTTCCATTAATCTCGAAATACTGTTTTTTTGAAAAATTCATTTTGACAGAAAACAGCTTTTTTTTTGAAAGTGGCGAATGCGATAATTATTCGCAAATCGTCGTCGTATCTCAAATAAAATGATAATTGGCAAAAATTTATCTCAATAAATTAACACTTGTTTTCTGAAACCTATTCTATCGAATCAAATGTTTCCCATACGTGAAACATCTAGTTTTAGCATCTTTCTTCTCTAAAGAACTCATCATTTCTGGTTTGGTTGGTTCCATTAACGACTAAGATCTTTCAGTCATTTAATCATAGAAATACAGATAGAGTCATTTGATTATAGAAATACAGATGGGTCGCCAACAAAACTCGAAGTTTTAAGCATCGATTTATTAATCAATTTGCCACTAATTCATATAAATTTTTGAACCTTAATTGTTCATTTAATTTGACGATCGAGATTGAGTAAAAGGCATAAGCTAATAGAATTTTATCCGTTGTGATTACTACTACATTACACGACTATTATCAAAGTTAGATTTCTGCGCTTAGTGTGCTGGGAACCTATGTGTGTGTAAATTCTATCTATAAATTCTTTAGCAAAATTGTCTCATCCAACTAACATTGAAGCGAAGTTGCCAATAATAGTAAGTACTAATCAGTCACTTAATTATTTATTTTTTTTCAGCACTTAAATAAATCTTCATGAAATTTTAAATATTCTAAGATTCTCGGCAAGTTGTTTAAATATTTAATTTTAAAAATGTTTCTCTCTTAAAAATTTAATCTTTTTATCACTCACGCACATGGACCCATTCGGCTTTTCATCTACATTACTCAATATTTACTCACTGTATTGAATATTAATTTCTAATCATCGTCAGTAATTGGTCTTTTCTTCGGTCTGAATCGCAATCGCTACCTTCCATTTTTATAACTTTTATTGACTGAAATATTCTTGATGAATATATGATTACTATGTGAATATTATTATTGATTTGAACAAGCTATTAATCCGGACTGGATAGAATATTGAGCTACATTGGACAGAATATTGGATTGGAATAGCAAATCGAAACTTACAGATTAATTTAAACAACCGAACATCGCAGGAGTAAACCTGTATAAAAATCCGGTTGATGCTGGCGACTCACCTGTATTTCTATACACAAAGTAAATGGCTCAGTGGGTTGTTGCTTAATTGGGAGCGTCGAAACTGAAGTTCGATTCCCTGCAGGAGTAAACCTGTACAAAAATCCGGTTGCTGCTGGTGACTCGCCTATATTTCTATCGTCAAGGACCCCCTGGCATATTGTCCAATGCGACAAGCAAGTGGAGCGAGTTTAGCCAGTAATGGTGAGGACTCTTTTAAAAAAATCAATCGAACATAGCATAAAACAAATAAAGTATACAAATTGAAGAGAAATTTCGGGAAATCGCGGGAATCCAAGATAGGGAGAAAAATATTTTACGAAATTATGGCTTGAAAAAAGAATCTTTTATTTGCTATAACGTTTCAAGATTAATTATTAATTAATTATTCGTACATATCTTTTTATCTTAGGGTTTTTTTGAATAAATAGCTAAATAGCCTAAATCACCGATTCTTGAAGTGAAGATTATCAAGGGCGACGCAGTATAGGTGACTCTCTAGTACCATCCGGTTTTCAGTGGTAGTATTCCTGCCGTGATGCTTGAAACGATAGCTTAAGCAATACACACATGGAAAAATTCGTTCAGTATAGCTATCCTTCTGAAATTAGTGAAAATTTTTTTACTTTTAGCATTATTTTTTTACTTTTATACTTCATTACTTTATTTTAATTTATTAAAACTATTTTTGATATTTCATCGTGTTTATGAGATTTATTTAAATTGTTTAAATTCTTTATTCAAATCATGACAAATAAATAAATTATGATCGATGAATCCTCAGGATTTCATAGTTTTTTTATTACGTTTTTCAATATAAGTATCAAGGTTGGTTGATTATTTAAAAAAAAGAGTGTAATTAAATACTTGAAAAAAATGGCAAAATCTCTTCAATTAATTGATATTTTTATTTTGTTTCTTAAAATTACCATTTTTACCATTACCATTTTTATGATTACCATTTTTATTATTTTTTTTAGAAAATTAATAAAAATGAAGTATTTATTTATTGTTTTTGGCCCATTATTGTCGAAAATTTTCACCGCCATCATTATCGCATACATACAAAATATAAATATTATGAATTATATTCTTAAATGAACATATTTGCTGTCCTTTTTACCCAAACGCCCTCCCACTTCTGTTGTCAAATGGATGAATATGAATTGCCAACCAACCAACCACCTTACTGGTTGAATTCTCTGTTCTGCCATATTCATTTGCTCATTTGCCTTCTTTGGTTTGAATTTAGTAGTTAAAAAATTTATACGTCATTAATTCATATCAGATGATGATTGAATTGGAAATGTCTGGTTTTCACTTTTAATTACAGTTGCTCTCTCAAGTAGTAGGGATTGAATTTATGCTATGAATGATGAATGGCGCATAAATTCATAGCTGCAGCCACAAGCACGTTATCAGTTGACTTGAAACTGCTTCGTAATTCCTGTTTACTTTTAAAAAAGGAAAAAAGAGAGAAAAAGCTATAGAAGTTTTCTATAGAAGTTTCTATAGTGATCCTATTGTTTTTCGGGCGAAATTTTTCTAAACTGGAGACATATTCTATTTGGAATAAAGGCAAATAGAAAGTTCTTTTTCTAAGCCATATTTTCTTGAAGTATTTTTTCTGCCTCTCTTGGATTCCCATATCGCGATCTCCGAAATTTTTTTGATTTGTTTATTCATTTATTTTATGCCACGGCGTGGATGTTTATAAAAAATTACTATGAATTAAAAAATTCTCTTTTTTTGCAGTAAAAAAAGAAGCGACATGGATGACGGTTTTGCTGATTATCGGAAATTTTGTGCGAATCGCATGCGTAGATTAGAACGATATAAGAAAGCTAAAAGTTTTTGTAATGTTGAAAATGAAAATAGTGGTTGTTTCAAGCAATCGGCATCAATTACTGCAACCAGTAGTTATACAGATGACGATGAACAACCAATTCAACAAGAATTGAGGATATTAAGCAATAATAATATTTCATCAGAAACCGAACCAAATTCTTATCGTTATTATAGTGATCCTATTCAGTCGAGTTCCACAACATTAAGAAAAGATCAACAAGATCAAGCAGATTATGATCCATTAGAATGTCGTAATGAAAGAAGTGGAAAAGAAAAATTTGATCTACTCAAAGAAAAAATGGTTCGTTTAATTTTTCAGCTAGAACTCATTCTCAAAAATTTCTTATTGGACTCTAAATTTTGATCTTTATTTTTGCTTCTATGTTCTATAATATCCTATTGTTGAGCTCATAATAAATGTCTTTCTCATTTACAAACTCCATTTTCTATGTGAAAATGAAACCACTTTAGCTTTTTCTTTAAACATCCTCATCATTCCAAGAACCTTTCCTTATGGCAACATTTTTTCCTCATCTTTGTCCATTTTAATTGATAGATTTCTTTCAACATAATTTTCTTGGCTAAATCGGTTTGAAATTGATACAAAAAAATCGTATTTATAACAGAAGTGCGAAAAATTTCATAAATGAGCGAGCCTTATGGAAATTTTTCACAACCGATGATATGAAACTTCCAATCCATAAAATAAGAATTTTATCGCTCAGACATCCATCAATTCGAAACGATGATGAAATAACGATTTGGGAAATGGGTTTATTGTATAATCGCAAATTTCGATAATCGTTTTCTAGTAGATCTCCACTGTTATATAGACCATAAATTTATTTTTCTTTTTTTTACGGATTTTTTTCAGCTTTTTTTGATTTTTTTTGATTTTTAAGAATTTTCTTATCATTTTTAATATATTTTTTCAGTTATCGGATATTATTTTTATCATTTATTTTTGTATCAAAATAACACTTTTGATGGCATTCTAAAATAACGAAAATCGTAGCGAAAATTAAAGGAAAAAATAAAATTAAGAAAATAAAGAGATCTAAAAAATGATTTGTTCCTTTTAGTTACCTTTGTTCCTTCATCGAACTATTTTTCTTAATTGATATTATTAAGTTTTGAACATATTTGTGAATATAGTTTTTTTTTCTTAGGATTTACTCACTTATTCGCTTTTCTTGATATGTTTTACATAAATTCTTTTTGACTGAAAATTTTATAAACCGATGGAGGGCACATATGATATGATGAAACGAAAAATGATGGGAAAAAATTTTTTTCTCAACAAATAACTGTTTTCTTATTACGGAAATCTTAGATCTGAAAATTCTTCTCGGCTAATTTTATTAATTTAAGAATTTCGGAGAAAATAGCTTAATTATATAAATCTTTGGATTGATTAGGAATCAGAAACTATTTAATTAAGAATTCTATATACGTCCTAGATTCTCATCGATATTCATTGATGAAATTTGCAATATTGATTCGGAAATTTAGGATGGAAATTAGTTCCAATAATTAATATATGAAAAATATAGAATGGTTTTGAATGAAAATTGATGGATCTATCAGGAAAAGAATTAAATTTATATTGAATTATAAATAAATAAAAGAAGAAAATGGCTATTGACTTCTACTAATTCTTTTCTTCTCAGATTTCAATAGACATAAATTCAAAAAAACTTGGTGATTGAAAATTCAAAAAATAAAAAAGTCGAAGTTTATTTAATGAAAGAAGTAAGCCTTGTTTTGGCCAATTATTAAACCAATCCAAGCTAATCTCAGCAATGAAGTATAATGAATTGAATAGATTTTTCGATGATTAGATATCGGAAATTATTTTTTTACTTATAATATTATACAAAAATGCGACACAAAAGGTTAATTAAAGCGATTGAACGCAAATTTTTTTCTAAACAAAGAAAGCAATTGATCTTCCATAAAAGCTCCTCCAATATTCACAGCGATTAGTTAAATTGCACAAATTTTTTTCAACCGATAAATGGAGGAAATTTAGAAATTTTGGTACCATAGGAAGTCAAAGTTTTCGAATAAAAATTTAATCATTTGATCTTTCCTTCGAATAAAAAATATTATAAAATTCTCTTACTTTCTCTTTCCTTTAACATAGTTTCAACGAATTATTAATTTGAGTAAATAAAAACGAAATTTCTGAGATTTCTAGGCAAAACGTTTTTAAGAAACGCATCATTAAGAATATTTATTATAGAAAAAAAATTAATGCAAAATTTATCGTTCTCTTTCTAATGCACCAAATAGAAATTTTTATAAGACTTCTCAAGTACAAATGGAAATTCTTCACCAATATGATATTTGATCTTATCAGAGAAGAGGATATTCCAGTTAATCATGAATTCATCTATGAATTTAAGAAACAAACGTGATTAATATAATATACGAAATTTTAATAGTAGTTTGCTTCGTTCGGCTTTAAATTTTTCCAGGAAATGAGCTATAAAAGTTAGTTCATCCCATGAAATTCTCGTCAAGAGGATTTTAAACTAATTTTTTGCTTTTAGAATTAACTGGTTTTCTCAATTTCTTAAAATTATTTTCTTTCAAATGAACATATTTTAAATAAATTATGAAATAGTAAAAATTTAAATCGTGGGGATTGTGTTAATTATTATTCAGAAATTTAACAGAAAAATAAAACACCAGATGTGATTGATGTCCCTCTCATAGTTCAAAAAGCAGATTTACAGAAGAAAGAGAGAGTCATAGGGATAACTCATGGCTGGACAATTATTGTAAACTCTTCCGCAAATCTGCTTTTTAAGCGACCATCTGCTTGATTACGACCTAGCAAATGATCCAGCCCGACCGTGCCTTTCTCAATAAAAGATTAAATACAAATTTGTTCAGCTCCATTATGAGTATTAAGACATTACTAATGTAAAAGGGACCAGCTCATTGAATCCCTTTTTTCAAAATAGATCCCATGTGAGACTGAAGGATTTGGGAAGGACATTGGTTGCCTAGGGTATTTAATTGGACACTTATCCATTCGATTATTCAGATAACCGAAATTCATGAGAAATTCAAAAATTTTGTTATAAATTAATTTGGAGACATTTCTTAATAGCGATGCTGAAAATATTTTCTTTGGCAGTGAAAAAATCTGGAAAACTATAATCTAAAATCGTGAAAACAATAAATACTAAAAAGCCTTCTCTCATTGATTCGCATCATTGATTTTTTTTGTAATTGGTCTGTTAACTGGAACAATTTGAGGGAGTGTGGAGGATGGTCGAGGATATTATTTCGACTGAGTTCATCTTGGGTTCACTTATTCTCCTCCTTATTTGTTGTTAAGAATAAAATTTGAGTGGTGCTAGAGATCCACTTCTGGCTCGCTTGCTTTCAGCTTATCGTGAAACTTGCTTGGAGATGCAGTGTGCGCCTCTTGCGCCTTCTTTCTAATGATTTATAATTTAAAGAATCCATCGTTTTCAAGTTTTCCTTATAAGTACCATTAATTTAAATCAACTAAATTGCATATTAACCCATTTTTCACTGCGGCTAATGCAATTACCGAGTTTTCTAAAGAATGCACAAATGAATTTTGGATTTGCAAGAATGTCGTCTGTGCATATGCTAATAAATGGAAACAATATAATCGAGTTGTGTAAAGAAAGCTTTTAGCAATTTTCAATAAAATGCATCGCATTTGCGTGCAAATATAATTATTTTGTCCTTTGCTTTATAAACTGGAAAATAGATATTTATGAGCGAAAACTAAGTAAAATGTAAACTTCCATTATTGTTAGAGCTTCGTAAATAATAAAAATTTCGATGAACCCCTTTTCTCTACTCTCTCACGGCTTTATTATTTAAGTGATCACTTGAGGATCATTCCCAGAGTTTTTTAAGGCTTTTCTTTATTTCTTATAAATTAGCCTATATGAGAAAATATAAATATAGGGCTTTCATTGCCTTCCGAAAGTCTCGGAAGATTCCATCTGACTTGCCTCAATTCGATTTCATTTTCATTTTTCATTTTTGATAGATATGGCAGAATCCATAATCGAATTAATAGACGCTCATTGTCAGTTTTAATGGCACATTTCAGATGTGGCCGCGTAAACAACTCCTTGTTTATGCCTAATAATAATAACAAAGAATGACCACTAGATAAATGGACAATGACCACTCACATAATATGCGGAAAAATCGAAAATAAAAGTGGATTGCTCATTCAGAGGTCAAACGGTCGCAAGCTATGTAAACAAATGTTAAATTAGTTTGCAGGAAATCCGTGAAAATATCGAATAACATATGTTATGGAAATTCATGTTAATGATAAGTATTAATTTTTATTGATCGATCGATCGTGCAATAATTTCTATAAAAATTTTAGCTCACTTTGAATCGAATCTGGTAGATAATAAAACTGAGAGAATGAAGAAAATTACTGAAATAAATCATAAAAAAGTTAATTATTCTTTTCTAACTGGGAGGAAGGTAATCGAATTGCTCATTCTCAGTTGTACTCAACCTCGAGCGTCAATATTCTGAATTCCTGCTGAATCTATCATTAAAAATATGGTAACATTTACCTATACCATTATCACCAATTGACTGACACCAGAAGTAATGAACGCTTAAGATTTGTAATTAGCTGTATATTTGCTAACTAGCGGTTAATTTATTGTTTATTAATTACATTAATACACTATATATACAGAAATTTTTTTCTATCATCTGATCGAATCTGCTGAGGGAGTTAAAAAGATTTTGAGACATTTTTTATGTCGTATGAAATTCGTTGTTTTCCAGTGAACCAGTTTTTTCTGTTTTTCGTATCATTTTATGTCGCTTCATATTCCAATTTTCTATCCACTCAACAATCACTTTTTTTACATTTGGTTATGTGATTAAGAAGAGTCGCTATAATGAAATAATGAAATGAAGAATTATGGTTCGAAGAGTAGGCCGAATTCGATGTTGGCGTCGTCATTGAATTCATCATCATACCGCTCTCCTAATTCTAAGATTTGGAGGAATAAACCGTACCATTAAAAGTGAAATCAGAATGGCGCAAGGGACTGACCCATCGCCAGTTATTTACATTCCCAAGTGGCTCTGCATTGTAAGAATTTCACCACAATGCAGCTAGCCAGCCAAACTAGGAATGATGTGATACTGTTAAATAAAGAAGATTTAAAACAGAGTCTTTGTTGATCAATTTTAAGATATCCCTTATGGAGAATGATGTTCGGCTCCTTCAACAACTTCTCGCTCTTGGAGAATCTATTCAAGAACTTAAATCCAAAAATCAAACAAGCAGTCGAGTGTCGCTAAATTCCTTTGATGATGAAGAAAATGAAGTAAGTATGCAGTTATATTATCATATTTATTTATTGCGTCGTGCTCAATAATGATGTGCATCGTTTTACTTTAATCACTTTGATCACTTTAAGTTTATAAAAAAAATGTTAAGAAAAGTTGCCGGTGTTATCACTGCAATATGAAATCTTTATGAAATTTTTTTAAGGATATTCGGCCACTCTCAAATGCGTCGCCATTTAGTTCTTCATTTTCTGCAATTACTCATCTTTATGTGAACGATGAAGCGAATAATGATTCTGTACAGTATTTTTCTCGGAAAAATTCTGTTCTTCGTATTCCAATTCCACCACGAAGCACTAATCGTATGAGTGCTAATCGGCGAATTGTGATTTTTTAACACTTTTTCCTTAAATTTATCTCAGTTATTAGCAGAATGAAGTTTGTGACTAGCACTTACCGTTTCTCGTTAGGCTCATCCCATTAGCTATTAGTAAAATGAGAATTTTACCAGAGAGCAATTTGAGCAATTAGAAAGAGAGGCTTGTTATTCGTATTTTTCTTTAAAAGAATCCACCTGAATATTATAAATTTCCAAAAATGGGCAAAGGAATGCTTTAAATGAATTGCTTTGAATAAAAACAATTTTTAAAAAATAGGTTTATTGCCAGCAGTACTCGAACTTTCACTAACCAGCTCGATTCTGCCAGGACAAGGGCGAAACTTTAATGGTAATTTAGGCCATACATATTCGGTCATTCACACTGCATCTAGTATATATTATATAACCTTTTAGTTCTTAATGATCAATGGCACTACGGGTGGGGAATTCGTCCTATTGTGAAAACTATAGCACGCAAAAATTTTTCACGCAAATATGGTGTATGGTAGCAGAATGATTGAATATCCAAATCTTTTGTAATATTTATATGCCAACAGAGATTTGTAAACATTAATAGTTTTGCCAAATTCAGTTTCATTTGTTTTGTTCCATATCGCTTTTCTTCTAGAATTATGCGATTTTCTGGAATATTAGTGTAAAACAGCTTGCGAAATCATCGCTAAAAGTGAAAAAATGAATGGTGCTTTGTTTTTAAATAATTAAAAACAAAGCACCATTCTTATTCGCAATTTTTAAAAATGGATCTACCGATATATCAAAATTTCCAGAAATTATATGAGCAAAGGAATTATAAATGAATTATCGAAATATGATTTAAAAAATGAAATTTTTAGCCTCGGAGATTATCGGAACTTGTTCGTTCTTCATCTAACAAATTACTTGCTGATAAATCAATTACACCTGTGACTTTTCATGAAGAGGCGAACCAGATGTTAGCTGAACCCAGTGTGTTTATAACTACTGATGTATCATCAAGGCGATCCAATGGAAGTATTGACAGTGGAATCAGAGATAGTAGTCCATCAAGCGGAAGCATCAGTCCAACATTTAAAACTAACCACTCATGATTGCTTTTATCACGTCAAAATATTAACGTCGATTTTATCTTTAAAAAATTTTCTCATTGTAGTTTTTTTCGAAATTTTTGTCAATAACCTTTTTCGACGAAAAATGTGCAAAACAAGATGGAAAGGGTTGGTTCAAATACGATATTCTGCATAATATTATCTGGAAAAAAAGGCTTCATTTATCTAAGAAAGGCATGAAATTTTAAATTCAGCTGTGAATCTGAATTTTCTTTTAAATTTTTAAAATGAGTTCTTTCGATTTGAATAGATCATGGCTAAAATCCGGATAAGAATGTATATTATTTTATATTCTTATCAGCACATTATTATAATTATCACTTCGTTTGAAATCGATATTCAAAATATCGATATTCAAAAATGCGAAATTATAGAGCCGTGATCTAAGCTAAATTAAATGGTTTCGAAACTTTTCAATTCAAAAGAGAGAATTTTCGATTTATCATTTAATTATTCTTTCAATCACTACACCTTCCAGCGAATTAAGAAAATCGAGAAATTATAAAGTCGTGGAAGATCGTTGAATAATTTTATAAAATCTACTGTTCGATTTTGTTTTTTTAATTTAAAAATAATTTTTGCACATTTCATTAACCGTTCATAATTTCCCTTGAAAAAATAAAATTTCTATATTTTTCTCATTTTTAACTACTACAATCAGGAAAATATTTTACAACAATTATATTTTTTTAACGAAATTCCAACTTTTTTTCCTCGATAAATCGCATCCATTCAATTGTTATTTTCAGTATTTCATTTCATTTTAACGATGAGATTGATTCGGTTGACAATTTTCGAAAATTTTTGGGGGTTTTTTAAGAAAATAGAAGAAATAGAAAAACAGGTGTGCAAGGGACTTAATTATATTTCCATCTCTAAATTACTCCCTGGAAAATTAGCTTTATCCTAATGTTTGCAAAACCAGCCAAAGCTGAAAGATGATCTTAGAAGAATAAAAATTGTTAAAATAAAAGTTCTTTTTGCATTTTATACCTTTCCATACTTAATTTGCAAAAAAATCAACGTAAGTTTGTCTGTTCGGCATAAAAGGAGAATTAAGGCAAATTCCACAGAGATAAATATTAACAAGCAAAAACTTAAATAAACTTATTAAGAAAAATATTTTATGCAATAACACCATGTTACTTTTATTGTATAATAAAAGTAATAAGTAATAGCAATGTAATAAATAATAAGTAATGAAAAAATAATAATTCGTAAATTCACTCGTTTCATGTCGTCTACCAGTGAATTTACGAATTCGTTTCAGCTCATTTTGTTGACATTATTGCTTGAGAATCGTTCCAAAAAAGAATAAAAAAGAATAAAAAGAATAAAAGCTTCATTTTTTCCTACCTATGCACCGAAAAGTCTGCAATCTTTTTTGTCTGAGTATTGCTGAAGTTCCACTTCGAAATTACCACCTTAATTATTGAACTAAAGTTCCATTCTTTATTATTAATTTCTATTAATTTCTAGTGCATGCAACGTATGCACTCACCTAGTTAAACTCGCTCCGTTTGCTTATGGAGCCAGAAAAACTCTGTGCTTTAAAGATATCTAGAAGTGCTAATGAATTACCATTTAGATTATTTCCTATGAATATCAAGCATTAAATCTATTAATCTACATTCTATTACAGAAACATTCATATATTCATATACCAATGAATTTTTCGCTAAAAAAAAGTTTAGCTTACATTCTAATTCTTCTGCTTCTTCTAACAGCTCTCACCATTACTGGTTAGGCTAGCTCCGCTGGTTAAAGAGGTCTCAAAGCTGCTCGCTCCGACGCCATTGGCAGTAATAGAAACCATTCATTTTCCATCGTCTAAATCCATATATCGCTGGTCCACCTCTACGTTCAAAATCTTTCCTGACCGTATCAGTCCAGCTCTTCACTGGTCCTCCTCGCTTTTGTCTCCAACCATCACAGGGTTTAGCAAGTAATGAAATATGCGTCAACTCATGTGGTGAACGACGGATAACGTGCCCTAACCAGTAAAGGCGACTGTGATAACATTATTAATACAGGTGGTGGTTGAGTGAAAATGGATACAATCATGTACAATATTATCCGCTCGATGGATCCGTAAAATATATCTTAGATATAGGTGATCAAAGGCTGATAGTTTCTTAACATTCCACTCTCATTGGCCATGTTTCGCAACCGTATAGCAAGATCGAACGAATTGCAGCTATATGGACTCGGATTTTCGTCTTTATGGTAATTTCAGGGCGGCTCCATAAAGATTTCATCAGCCAGAAAAGCATCTTTCTAGCTGTCGCTATCCAGGCTACAATTTACAATTTCATCCTTCGCCTGGCCATTTAGGATTAGAGTGGATTCAAGGTATTTAAAGTCAGAAACTTCCTCAACCGGCAATGTATTGATAAAAATAGTGTTTTGTCAGCATCTTGCATATAAAACGAAAACACTTTCGTTATATTTACATTAATTACATTAATTTTGAGTCTGATTCTCTCTGCAGTACACTGTTGACACATTGTTTAACATTATTTGTATTTCATTATAACTGTCATCAAAAAGGACTATATCACAAGTATATTCGAGGTCTGTAATGCTATGCTCTGGACTGAATTGCACATCTCTTGAATATCGGCAAGCGACGCCCATTATTCAGTCTATCGCACAGTTGAATATTGTAGGATAGAATATTGCAGCCCTAACAAATGGACACAAGTTTTTATTTCGAAGGAATATGTCAGTTCCCCATATACGCAGATCTGTACCAGGATATGCTGATAAAATGCCTTTATAAGTCGAATGATCTTCTTTAGGACACCGTCACATTCCATCACTTTCCAGAGCGCTGCTCTATCATCGATGAAGCAAATGACGATGGGTTGCTGGTATTTAAAGTGATGTCCAGCATCCTTCTTAGCGTAAATATCTGGTCAGCATAAACGCGTCCCAGTATGAATCCAGATTGGTTAGGACGAATTTTGCTATATTGTTGCATTGAGTCTATTTAGTAGAAGGGTAGAGAAAATTTTTCCAGAGATGTCCAGCAGGCTAATTCTTCGGTAATTGTCGCAGTATTGATAAATTGTCCTGTCATTTTTTTTAGAAATTGGAAGTAGAATTGTTTTGCTCCAGTCTTCTAGTATTATTTCCTTTTGCCATACCAGAGAATATATTTGTTGAAGGTGAGTTATGAACGATGATGGACAACATTTGAAGAGTTCAGCCCGAAGTCTATCTTCCCCGGAAGTTTTATTGGTCTTAAGCTTATAGATTACAGCGATCATTTCCTCTTATGTTGCACAGTTGCAAACGTAGGGCTCAACGGTCAAATCCAATATTCTGGATAAAAGATGGTGCACTGTGGCTAAGCTTGAACCTCAAAAAATTCTTTCCATCTTCTAAGGCGATCCTTGACAGCTTTAATAGACACCCCATTAATATCCCGTACCATTTCATTGACTCCTTCTCGACTTATAGTTGCTTTTTGAAAAAGGCGAAACAATTTCCTATTATTACCTATCCGAAATGCAATCTCCATTTTCAAGGCCATATCGCTCCAATAGCGATTTCTGTCGATTTCCCGCCGTGCTGCTGTCGTTACAATTTTTCGAAGCACCTGATTTCTCAGTATCTCGTAAAATTCGGGCGTTAGCAGCTTTTTCAGACAGTTTGACATTTGCTTCCGACTAGCGCACTTCTTACTAGTATATCCTTGAGTGAAAATGGCTGATTCTTGTAGGCATATTTTTGGTTGGGACCAGTATTCATTCGTCTTTCCAGAGATGTCATTGACGCTCACTTCACTGAGATCCAATAATATGGTTTGAAATGCGTTTATTCCTCCCGGAACTTTTAATTTGAGATACTTGAAACTTGAAAGATCTTGGGAAACGTTGTTACTTACAACTTATCATTTTTATACGAATCTTGGCTCGAACATTAGCATAATCTGATCCATGGCGGTCACCAGGTTACCAGTTTCAGCACCCCGATAAGAACGAATTTTTTTTATTTTAATCGTTGTTTGGCAAAAAAATTAAAAGTTTAAGAGGGCTTTCAGAAAAATAAATCGAGAATATTTTTTGAGACGACCGCTCAACAAAAATTTTTTCCAAAATTTACATTCTAATTAATGTCCATCGAGCAGAGCGGATATACGTTTAAGGAGTGAGCCCAGCCAAAAATGTTGAGCACTAAATGTGGAATTTTCAAACAATGAAAACAAAGGTGATGGAATGGCTCATCGGGTTGTTGATCTGGCCGCTGATGACTCGAACGAGTCTGACTTACGGAAGTCCGTGCGATATTGCCGGCTTACCAGTACTTCTATCGCGAAGTCCGTCATGCCAACCGCGTGCATCTGAAAGGGGTGGGCGCTTCCAGAAATAAAAAACGCGAAACCTATGAACATCCTCAACTTCTACATTAAAAAAACGACCAACTAGCACATAACTAAATATGTTCGTAGATGATTTACAATGCGACCTACTAAACTGCTCCTGAAAAATTGCATGAATATGGTACATTTCTTAATTACTATTTGACGGATCGGCTGTAAAACTTTCGAAAAAATTTTGCTGGCTGCTTTATGATGGTAGTTCAAGTATTTGATAGTTTCCGGTTGTTTGTTCTTGTTTGCGTTCTTTTTTTCATTAAAAAATCAAGTGATTTATATCCGACTTTATTTATTATTCGAATCTTTTCGCTTGGGTTTCGGTTTTTCATGCTTTAAATTTTAGAAATTAAATATTTTTGGAAGTTTTATGATTAATTTCGCGAATTTTCCATATTTTTTCTCATCAAAATTAACAAAATTTGCAAATATTTAATATATGTTAATATATTCCATATTATAATAAATATTTTAATGCTTTTTTCTTCTTCTTTTGATTAAATTTCGGATTTTCATTGTTCGTTATTTATTATATTATATTATTATATTAAATGTTAAAAATAACCGACGTAAAACGAAATAATATAATTAAGAATAAGATATACTAATATAATTTATTTTGCATTCGCATTCGTCTAAAATTTAAATTTAAATTTAAATTGAAATTTCTATTATCGCATATGGTTTTAGCATAAAAATAGGTGAATATTAGAAAATGGGTTTTCAGCGTTTCTTCTTTTGCTTGAAATAATTTTGCCGATCAAAACATGTCATCATTCTTCATTGAAGGTAATGTTTTTATCGTTTTTTTCTTCTTCGACAAGAAATTCATGTGCAGAACCATCTCCAAGCATATATATCTCCCCTCAGAACTCATTATTTGCCTTCGATATCCTTTTATATCCCCTATTCCTTTCGATTTGCATTGCTAAAATTATTGCTTCTAATTGCACCGTTATTTGTTGGCTCCGCTGGTTAGGCATTTCTAAAGTGCTAGCAGCCAAAACCATGAAAAGCCATTATATATATACCCACAATTTGGCCTTTCACTTGGCCGTTTGAAATAAAAGTGGTTCCACGATTGAAAGTCTACCACTTTCTTAACCCAGGATAGTTAGGTAAAAATAGGTATTTTTTCAACATTTGGTGTGTGAGATGAAATGGTTAAAAAGACGCAAAGCTTCATTCCATCTTTAGGAATTTTATTGGCCTCATATCGTGAAGAATTTTGTTAATTTAGAAAGAAGAAATAAATAAAATTTTTGAAAGAATTGATTCGTCGACTCTTTCACGTATTAGAACTGGAATATACAGCTGGTTGTAGATCTTGTTACTGGCCAGATACCAATATAATAGAATAATGTGCGAAATGTTATCAATTATTATAATGAATTGAAAGGTAGGATTATGGAAGAATACGAAGGACAACTGACTGACTAACTACTGACTGACCGATCGATTAATTAACCGACAGATTAACTCACAAACTGACGCTTGGTCGTATTCCCTATCGTTTTTTTTATAAGGAATGTGAAAGAGATAGATTTTATTTATAATTAGGCATATAATTTCTTTACAAATTGACGGTATTCCCACAGCTGAAAGGGAAATTTACATACAAAAATATCGGATATACAGCTGACTTATGATTTTAAGCATGGGAATGTGCTTATTATTTCAGTTTTTCCGACATTTTAAGCTTCTGAGAGATTTTTTAAAATTTCGCTTATATTTTCTAAATATAATATCTCTAGTGACCAATATATATTTTTTTTTAGATCCCTCACCATTACTGGTTAAACTCTCTCCTTTGGCTTATACTAGACATTGGCGATAGAAGTATAGATAGATCGCCAGTATCGCTCGAATTTTTGGACAGATTTACTTCGGGAAAAAGAACCTCAGCGTCGACGCTCCGAATTTAGCAATAATCCTCTGAACCATTCTTTGACCCCAGTGACCGTTATATTATCTCTTATAGTTGTTTTATAATTTATAGTTGCGAGCGTGAAAATTTGCAAAATTTGACGTTGAGGGAACATAATGGGACTAGTAAAGAAATTAAAGTCTGAGAGGGTTAAACTGGCACAAAATGGTAGACTATGTTATATGGTAGATTATGTTAAATAACGCTTTTCACTTATTGTCATTTTCATATATATTGAAAAAATTGTTTTATATAATGGTTTACTACAGGAATAGGTGATGAAGTTATGGTTGTATTTTTCGTATTTGTTTCTACTGTTCTGATGATCAATTATTTTTATTGCTATTTGAAGAGCAGGTCCTCCAGTTTCTGTTCTTTATCGCTTTTTTAGAAGTTAAAAAATAAATAAAAATATTGAAATTGAAATAAAATTATTCACCGTTATTCAGTAGTTTCATTAATTTAAGATTTTTTCCCAAAATCTTTTGATAATTTTAATTTTTTTAATCGTTCTAGAGTTTGATATTGGTTTGATTTTTTTTTGTAATAAATCACTTCTTTAGACAACAAGAAGGTATACATCCTTCGCTTGAACGTGAAGTACAGGAATATCGTCGTAGTTTTCTGCAAGAAAATGAAGCGATTGAGGTATAGGAACAATCATTTCTGCTATGGTTTTTCTATTCTAAATTTAATTTGAGTTATTTTTTCGTCCGGTAAAATGATAAGTTTTAATTATCAAAGTAATTAACCACATCGCTTCTTAAATTTTCTTATGGTGGAGATTTTTCCAGATTTAATTATTGTTTCAGTGTTTTATAAGAAAGAAGTTTTCAGCAAGGGGAGGCCCCAAGAACATATGGTAGTGATCGAACTTGTCCTATTTGTTTTCTTTCGGCGTCATTTGCTATAACCACCAATTGTGGCCATCTTTTTTGCTGTAATCTTTTCGTTCTGAGGGTTCGTATAATAATTTGAATGTGACAAAATAGTTGGTAGTTTATCATTATATATCTTCGCAGAATTCTTTATTTGCATAAGAATTCTTTTTAAGGTAAATGCATATGTGGATACTGGCGCTATTTTTTCCCGCTAAATCCTGTGCAGTGTCCTGTATGTCGCACACCGGTTAGTAATTGAAATTTTATGGTTCTTTTAACTTTTTTTTTGGTGCAATTATACTTTATGGTTCTATGCTATTATTGTACTTTTTAGGTTACTTTATTAATACCTTGTCCCATTGAAGGAGAAGTAGAGAGTAATTCAGAAGAAGCAGGTTTAAATGACAACATGCTAGTTGAATATAATCGACGATTTTCAGGAGAGAGGCGTCCCGTAAGTTCATTTAATTTTTACTAATATCTTTTCATAATGAATTTAATGCCATTGCTATTGAATATGAATATAATTATATAAGCGAAAATTGAGTTTTTTTATTAGAATAGTTATTGGAAGTAATTTTGTTGAATTATATCTTATTTCCTTTTATAGTTTATGGATCATATTCGAGATTTACCGGTTATTATACCACATTTATTGCGTACATTGCTCTCTTTTCGAGGACTTGTGCTTATGTCTCAATGCAGGATAATTCTTTGTTTATTAGGCTTATTCTTTTATGTTATTATTCCTGGGGATCTTCTTCCTGAAAATGTTTTTGGAATTTTTGGTTTTTTAGACGATATTCTTATCGTCTTTTTTATTTTTGTTTATATATCGATTATGTTTCGGCAGTTGCTTGGCGCAGGAAATTTGCATTTTGGCTGGAATATAAATGGTGAGCACAATCAATGAATTTTTTTTTTTATAATTTTACGAGCTTGTTATATTTTTATAAGTTTTGTTTTTCTTTTATTCCTATTATTTATTTATCGTTCAATAAAACTTATGCATTTTAAAATTTCTTTCGCTTCTATTTATGGAATTAAAAATAGACTATAGAAGTCAATATGTGATGGTGTCGATGCCTTCTATCACTGGAAAAATTCCATTAGTTAAGATGGTTGTATCGAATAAGTTTGGAAGTATCAGCCATTTTTGAAAATATCTTCAGTGGCAAAAAAATAAATTTTTTCTTGACTTCTGTTTTTATTCGCATTTTATTTCCGTTTTTATTTTTTTAATTTCTTTCTAATGATTATATTCACATTATAAAAATAAAAATATTCACGAAAAACCGTCTCTTTCACTTATCTCTTTCATTTTTAGCGATTTTTCTTCATTTAATATTTCATATTTTGCTCATATCGAATTATTGCAATATATTTTTTGCTTTTTTTAAATCAATTAAATTTAGGAAAGTTATTCCTTATTTTTTAAAATGATTTTATTAACATTTAAGAAAGCACCAGAGAAATGAATCATATTTCTTGTCTCAGTTGTTCCTAAATTAAGTTTTTTTCCTAGATCATGCAGGTTTTGCTTTTTTCATATTTTTTAATTTGTTTTAGAGTTATGTTGGAACTAAGGCAGTGTACAAATATAAATATGAAAACAGATGAAATGTACAAATAAAACTTTTGAAAATGGGAGCACTCGCACTTATTATTTTGGCTAGGACGATCAGATTGATCTGTTTTTGGGATTTCAAGTAGGGCAAGAATTATAAAATGGAGCATTTTCGTTTTATTCGATTTTTACTGGAATCCTCATTCATCGTCAAGACCAACTGTCGTTTTTTCTCCATCGCTAGTAATTGCTGGAATAACTCAATAATGTTCTCGTTGTTCTTCGCACTTGTCTCGATAAAGCCCGCGCCCCATTTGTCGGCCAATTTTTTACCAACATCAATATTTACTTCACGTCTCTAAAGATTTATCTGGCAATAAGATATCAAGAATATTTAAACAAAAAATCTAAAATTTTCTTGTTTTTCGCTTCAATTTTTCTTGCATATTCACAGCAAAGAACCTACTGAAATTGCCCTGAAAAAGAAAAGGAGTTTATTGGATGAATAATTTTTTTCCGAGCTAACTTTGTTTAGATAAGATTAATTTTTATAGGATGGGCAATATAAGGCAATAGTTTTGATAATAAATTTTCTGACCTGTTCTTCATCCTTTTTATTTCCGACTAACATAATTGGCACATCTGAAATAGCGTCGCCTTTCACTTCTTTCAACATTAAAATTATTGGTCCGAGTTCTTCGAGGCTTTGCTTGCTGAATTTTGAGTTATTACAAATTTTTTGAAAATTTTTTGATTTTTTCTGCTTCTTTTTAAGTATTTCATTTACTAAAGCTTTTGGTATAGCCCATAATGAAACGTCAAATCACTTAAGAGTAGAGGTGGGTACTCCACTACCACTTTCACTCTTTATGGCATTTACTATTATCAAGAAACGAGGATCAAACGAGAATATACCTTTACCTTTACCTTCAGTCCACTAGCGACTTCTTTATTTTTATGTTTCTAGATTCTAGATTAGACATAGATTAATTTTTTTGATTTGCCTTGTCATCCTAAACTCCCAAAAGTTTAATAATAGTAGGATAATCCGTAATAAATATAAACACAAAGTCATCAATAAGTTTAAACATCATTAAATAAAGATAAATTTAGGTCAAATTGAATTTAAGATTTAGTTTACCTGGTAATTGAATAAGTTAATAAGAAAGCATTTCCTTTACTTATCGAAAGCCTTTGCATTGCTGGAAATTGATGGCTGCCTGTCGTATCAGTGATCTCCAGTGTGCAAACATTCTTCTGATTACAACTTATTACCTACAAGGATAAGAAGTAATCATGGCAGTTGCCATTATTTGCTTGGAATAGTACTTTTCAGCAGTCGGTTTCGAAAAAAGAGTTTTCATACCATAAACGAGAGCCTTTTTTTCCGCTTTCAAATATATGGCACTTTTAATTCGATTGTCGAATTTAAATAAAATTATAATACAAGAAAAGAGTGTTAATTGATAAATATCCTATAATACAATTATAATATAGAAAAAGAAAAGCCAATTCTTTAGGGTTTTACGGGTAGGGGGTTTAGCGATGTAAAGATTTATCGTCAGTAAGGAACTGCGAAGAGTTCTAGAGCTCGATCGGATATTATTCACCCATATGCGAAAGAGGACTGAACTGAAAAGTGAAAATTTCCTGAAGATGCATCAATCATCGCTCACTTCATAGGTTTCTTTAATGTTATAATAATATAATAGATTCTACTCGGATAAAATTGATTGCATCTCAATATTTGTGAAGAAATCTCAAAAAAACGAAGGGGAATGGAAACGAATGCATTAAATTTTTCTTTTTTAGGTTTCCTAATACTCTTGACCATACCATTAGTATTGGTTGAAACCATACCATTGAAACGTATCACTGAAAAGAAGTGTTAGTACCAACATTGGTACCAACTTTCCTGCAATTCAAGATGCAAAATCCATTGGAACCGAAAAAAAACATTTCCTATTTCAAACCAATAACTCAGCATTTCTCTTCTAAGTTGGCGATTGTCGGAAGTTCGAATTCCGAAGTAATTGTATTATAAAATTATTCATAAAATTAAATTAAAAATAATTTATCATAAGACTATAAATTATAAAGTTTTTATCGTTTGCAAGGGTTAGTTTTCAATGCTTCGTTCGATCAATTTATTGTTTTCTCAGGTCAATTTTTCGTTGCTTTGCTCCATTTTGTCATATTTTAGGGTCATTTTTTCATCTGTTGATTTAATCGTAATTAGTGTTCAATATTGGCTTTTAATACAATCGCATAGCTCTCTTTTTTCTCGCTAAATTTTAATTTAATTAATTTATATATATATATATATATATAATGTTTCACATGCCGTTTTATTCGTATTATTATTTGGATAGTAATAAAGATTTCAACTGGTTGTAAATGCTAAACGTCCATTCGTGAAACCATCGACAAGTACGTAAGTCATTCCTTTCAAACATTTTTTCTAACTGAATTTAATCAAAATTTTTCACGACATAATTTTTGGTGCTCGAGGTGAGGCTCAAATCACGGCCTTCAGATTATGAGACTGTGAAATATGGCGATTTATCGACTATTAAATTACTATGCAACGATCAAAAGAATACATCAAAAGAAATGAAAAAGAATGGATTGAAGCAGTAGAGAAAATGGAAAAAATTTTCCGACAATTAGAGGCGCTAGGAGAAAACCTAAGATATTCTAGCATTCAAACCGTATAATCGAAAGCCGATTACCACGTTGAAAAAGTATACCACCAAAAAATAGCCGATAGCCCATAGTCAATATCAAAGCTCAGAAGATTTCTTGGGAATTTAATCAATGTCAATAAACAGATAAGAAATTATTCTCATTTACTCATATGGACAAGAAACAAACCTTATTTAAGACTAAACAGAATCCAAGAAATTACAATGAAACCTCAGCATTAGCAACTATTCACCACGGAAAAGAAAATTCCTTATCTTACATCAATGAAAAGCGAAATCAAACAAAGATCACCGTGTACATTTTGTATTCAAAATCATTGGGATAGTAAATGTCAAGCATGTCCCACAATGGATACTCGGTTGAAGCGTCTTAAGGAGGTGAAGAAATATATTATCTGTTTGAAGGCACATCAAGGCGAAGAATGTAAAAGAAAGGTAAAATATTTCTAATGCGAGGCTTCTCATAATAGTGCCCTATGTGAAAAAGAAAATCAACCACATCCAAACAAAACGTTATGCCTTAATAAAAGTCAGGCAAACGAAGAAGTTAACAAATTGGAAGATTTTTCAATTAACTACAATCTGACAATGATAGCTCAAACGAATGCAATAAGAAACAAGATAAAGAAAAAAAAATAAGTCATTTTATCATTCTAATGACCGTTGTGTCGATCTTCTTTCCCTAAAATTCATAATTCATAATTCATAATAATTCATTATTTCTGCTAAATTATATTGTGCTTCCCTAAAAAGATAAAAGGAATACATTATTCGCCTTAATATATTAGATATTCTAAAAAGCATTCTTAAAAATATATTGTTTTTATCGTTTTATATCAAGTTCTTTTATTTATAAGATAAAAGAGATTTTTGTTTGTCACATTTATTCAAATGGCACCGAAAAAGATTGCAGCTAATAAGGTCGCTTCTGCCAGTGATGTCGGCTCCTTAACTATCGAGGACTTGAGGACTTGAGAATTAGCTTCCATTACTGAGAAATATGAAAAGCAACAAGATCTAATTCTGCATTTAACCAGATCTATTGAGATACTTACAATGGTCAACGAGGAACTTAAGAATGTTATCAATAATTTGAAAGCCTTTGGATGGCAAATTTTAGTCTCCAAAAATCTCAACTGAACAACTATTGATGAATATTTTGAAAAAAAGAAAAAGAACCATGTCTAATTGACATAAATGTTCCAGAGAAATCTGCTGATCATGAGGCTGCTACTGCCGATAGGCTCTTAGCAGAGAATATTCTAGCGGCCGTTGGGATCTAGACTGACTACATTAAGGAAGTCTGTCGACATAGAAGGAGTCAGGCAGGCCACGAATATTTAAGATTCGACTTGAAGATAAGTACATGACTATGTCTATTTTGCGTAATAAGAACGTGCGCTCGATTGTTCCCCATGGAAGCTTTTAAAAGAAGGATATAACGAAAAGAGAACTATTACTAGACAACTGTTGCGAAAAGAATGTTATATGCGAAATCAGAATATCAATCTGAAGAAGTACGTCGTCAGAAATCTTCAAATAGTGGAACTAAGGCAGCCTCGCCAATGGTTTACAACGACAAACAATTTTTCGATTCCAATTTTCTCCCATCAGTCTACTAAAGCTTAGGACAACTTGCCAAGATTAATAAAATAGGAAGTAATTTATCTTTATATATATTTAATGCAAGAAATTTGAAATATAAACTTTATGACTTATAGCTCTTACTAATTGATAACCCAAATATTTTCTGTATCAGTGAAAAATGGTTGTATGATTGTACTGATAATCGGGAACTAAATTCGACGGCTTTATAGTATCACATAAGAACAAAACAATAAATGGTTTGAATATAAGTATTCGTGGAAGTGGGTTTAACACGCTTATTCCTGATTATTATAAATTTGCAATTTTTGCTGACTATGTTTATTCTTTTTTGAATCTCAGAAAACTAAAATTTATCTTAATAACAGAAATATTTTCTTTTTAAATCGATACCGCCCACCCTGCTATGGAAGCAAATTCATAAGGGATCTTTACAACCTGTTATTCAGATTAAAATTGTTTGGTGCCAATTATGTAACTGTTGGTGATCTTAATGTGCCAAACATTAATAGTTTGAGAAAATAGTTGCTTGAAAAATAGCAAATTTGAAGAGGACTTTCTAAATTTTTCACTTATAGTATCAAAAAGCTTTATAGAAAATACAAATTAGCCAAATTGCCATGTGACCTCCCTGCATATAAAGAATGTTTAAGAAGCTTCCGTAGTGCCATTCATAATTACTTTTCAAATAAAAATATTAATAGAAATTCCTTCTGAACCTACATCAAAAGAAAATTTTCCGCGTAAACAATTAATGATAATGTGATCACTTCTGATATTGATAATGCAAGAATTTAATCAATATTTTTCCAGTGTATTTTCCAGTGTATTCCAGTATATGAGAATAATACTCATACTTCCTGTTTTAACGTAAATCGAATTTGTTGCATTTTTCTCGGTGAAGTTGAAATATCAGAATAACACTGAATGTTTATGATGCCTTAAATAGCCTTAAGCCGCCCATTTCAGCTGGTCCCGATAATATTCCACAAATAATTCATAGAAAATGTGCAGTTTC